ACAGTTCTTGGTGGTCATCAGTAACACTGCAGGAGATCTGAACGCTTGCTCTCTCGTAAAAGATTAACAACACTGTCCTCAAAATGACCTTCAAGCGCCACGGAAGCCAGGTGAGGGATCACAGCATGTGGGCATAGCACAGAAATAATAAATGATGAATCCAATAAGGCAGGGCGTGTGTTTTCTACATCACTCTCGCTGACTGAGGGAGCACAGCTTGGAGAGAGCTATCCTCTGCTTGGACCAAGGACATTGGAGTGAGTACCTGGCTTAGTCTAAACTAACACTGAACCCATGCAGGTCAAACCCAGCTCTCCTGCAGCTTCACTCTCCAGGTTGGTACCTGTAGGTGGGCCCCAAGCCTGCCCTCTCGCGCCATGTAAGTTTCTGCAGCCTTGATTCCAAGCTCAGCACATCAGGCCAACCGCAGCAGCTTTTGTTACTATCTATGCACCAAACATTTGGGCTCAAAATGGGCTTAGAATCAGATAGGTCTTGATAGGTAATAGTGAGTGATTTCAGCACTCCATGCTCATCTCCAGGTAGGTATTTCTGCTGGCTGATCAAGAAGATATAAATAACTCGCGCAGCTCCTTAACAGTCAGTGAGTTTAAAGAAGTAATAAAAGAGCCCTCCCAATGGAGACTAGGTCTGGATGGAGTGCCTGCCGAATCTCTTAAGAAAGCGCTAACTAGTACCCCACAAATTGTTCCATAAAACAGAAGGGGGAGGGGCACTCCCATACTCACTCTATGACTCCCGTGTTACCCTGAATCACAAAGAACATAAACAAGAAAAAAAATTGTAGACCAGTTTATCTGATAAACAGATGAAAAAATTCTCAGTGAGATTCTTACCAAACCCAATGGAAGAGTATACGAAGACATTCATAAACAGTGACCCAGCTTGGTTTCATTTTCGGGATGCAGTGTTCTTGTATAAATCGGTAAGTGCAATCAGCACATTGACGTAGAACCTAAGCCAGGTGGTCCTCTCACCCAGTACAGAAAAGGCCTTTTTCACTAAGCTCAGCATCCTTTCATTGTAAACGACCTTAAATTATGAATGGAAGGATTATAAAGACAGTATATTATAAACCTGTAGACAACATTTTGCTTAGTGGAGAAAAACTGAGAGCATTTCCTGTAAAATCTGGAATGGGATAAAGGTACCCACTCTCTCCAGTCTTAGTATTTTGCTTGCAGCCTTATTAGCTAGAGCAGTAAGCCTAGAAAAATAAATAAAAGGCTAGAAATAAGGAAGAAGTCAAATTGTTCTTACTTGCAGATCACACAATCCTTAAGAGACCCTAAAAAGTTCATCAGAAAACAGAGCAGCTAAGGTTTTCAGCAGAGTAATAGCAAAGTCAACATTTAAAAAGCAGTAGCCTTTTTGTATATCTATAATGAACCTGTAGCCAGATGTGGTGATGCACACCTTTAATCCCAGCAGTTTATAGGCAGAAGCAGGTTGATCTCTTAGTTTGAGGCCAGCCTGATCTACAAAGTGAGTTCCAGGACAGCAGAAACGCTGTCTCAAAAAGCCAAAGAACAAACTTGCTGTGAAGTTGGGGGAGAGGGTATGCGGGATGGGGTGGAGAGGAGCTCCCCATTCACAATAGCTTCACAAAACAACTGTAGGAGTAAACCTAACTAAGGTGATAAAAGTCCTCAACAATGAAACTCAAGAAAGAAATTGAAGAAGACACTAGAAGGTGGAATATCTCCCTTGCTCATGGATAGACAGAATTCGTACAATGAAAATGGCTATAGTGAAAGCAATGTATGGATTTAGTACAGTCTTTATCAAAATCTCAGAACTAGAGAAAACAATCATAAAATTCACAGGAATGCACAGAAGGCTCAGAACTAGCTACAATCATACTTAGAGGAAAGAGTAATGCTCGCACAAGGTACCGCAATACCTGATCTCATATTATATTACAGAGCCTTAGTAACAATGTATCTACCCGACCGGATAGTTTGGATCCATAGTAACAATGTATCTATGTGGTCTCACAGTAACAATGTATCTACCTGATCTCATATTACAGAGCCATAATAACAATGTATCCACTGACACAAATACCAGACCTATAGAGCAGTGGAATAGAATTGGAAATCCAGAGATAAACCCTCTCATAGAACCTATTTTTTTTTTTCTTCAAAACAGTGAAAACTATACATTAGAGAAAAAGTTATGCTCTGACGAATGATTTTCAGAAAACTGGAATTTCACATGAAAACAGCTGAAACTAGACCCTTCTCTGACAAAAGGAAAATCAAAGTGTATCAGAGACCTTAATGTTAGTCCTGGAACTTGGATACTGCTAGAGGAAATTTAGACAAACCTTTCAAGATAAAGTACAAACAAGCATTTCCTGAATTCTAGTGGCACAGGAATGATCTTAAATACTGACAACTTGGATTATATTAATAAGATTCTGTGGGCTGTCAAGATGGCTCAGTGGCCAAAGGAACTCGGTGCCAAGCCTGATGACCCAAGTTCGATCCCTGGAACCCACACAGTGGGAGAAGAGAAGCAATTTCTGCAAATTGTCTTCTGACTTCCACATGTGCACTGTGTCATGTGTGTGCACCCAACCCCCAAACCCAAACACAAGTACATACATGTAAAAAAACAAAGGTTCTCTATAGCGAAGGAAGCATACTGGAGTGAAGAAACAGCCTACAGAACAGTCTTTGCCAGTTACGCATCTGACAGGCTGCTGCCTCACACCTCTAATCCCAGCATCTGGGAGGCAGAGACAGATGGATCTCTGTGAATTCAAGACCAACCAGGTCTATTTAGTGAGTTTTGGGCCAGTCAGGGCTTACATAGTGAGACCCTGTCTCAAAAAGAGAAGAGCCCAAAGTAAACCCTCCAAATACCAAAAGACAACACATGAGAACAACGATGCCAGGGACTGTCTAAAGAGGAACGCAGTGAGAATGTTAACACCCGTGACCACTGTGGTGTTCAGGACAGAGGTTCCTCAGCATTCGTGGCACTGCTGTACAGCTTGTTTTAGTTAGGGCTTCTATTGCGATTATGAAACACCGTGGCCAGGAGCAACCTGGGAAGGAAGGGGTTTCCATGTTATCCCGGAACTCAAACAAGGTAGGAATCCAGAGGCAGGAGCTAATGCCGAAGCCATGAAGGAGTGCCGGGTACTGGCTCGCTCACCCTGCTGCACAGGACCACCAGCCCACTGTGGCTCCACCCACTGTGGGCTGACCTCCTCCCTCGACTACTACTTAAGGAATGTTCTACCGGCGTGGCTACAGTCTGATCTTAGAGGGAGGCAGTTTTTCAGTTGAGATTCTCTCCTCAAATGACTAGGTTGTGTCAAGTTGACACAAAGCTAGCCAACACACCACTCTTGGTTACAGAGTTCCAGATCCTGAGTCAAGACACCAACATACATAAGGGGCATCATGCACTATTCATAATAATCAGGAAATGGAACCAGCCTAGAGGTTAATCAGCAGATGAATAGATGAAGAAAGAGTGGTCCATATATTCAGTGGGATTTTATGCAGCCATAAAGAAAAAAATGTAACTAGTAAATTTGCAGGAAAGTAGATGAAATTGATAATCGCTATCTTAAGTAGAATAAGCCAGCCTTAGACAAATACTGCATATTTTCTCTTGCACCTAAATTCAAAATTGTAAACATGTTTGTTTGTATGGGTGTGCTTGTATTTAAATATATATATATTTGTTTATAGCTTACAAAACTAGAAAGTGGATCATAAGAGAGAAAGAAGAGATTCTAAGGAAGGAAGGAAGGAAGGAAGGAAGGAAGGAAGGAAGGAAAGAAGGAAGGAAGGAAGGAAGGGAATAGTGAGGATGATGGATTCCAGGGAAAAGGAAAGCAGAAATGATGTTAACGGGGGATGAAAGGGAGCTAGGTGAAGGGGTGTGGTGGGAGGATGGTTGGGGAGGGACTGAGAACCAAGGATCATTTACACATTTGTGTGAAGATGCCTTGAAGATGGGGAGGTGGCAGTTGTGAGAAGCTGAAGCAGGTATTAGGAGAGGGGGGATGTGCTGGAAATCCACCACTTGCATGCTTGGAATTGCTAGTGATATTAAAAATTGTCCTGAGAAAGAAATTCCACTAACCCCCTTTTTCCAGAACTAGGAAAACCAATCAGAAAACTGGTAAAGGACTTCAGGAAGCTCCCGGTAACGAAAGCTGTCTCAGCAGCAGAGAACCAAGCAGGAAGGGTCACACTGCCCTACTTCAGAAGTGGAGATCCAGACACATATAGAAGCCATAGGGACAGAGTGGGGTCCAGAAGTAAGCCCCCACACAGTCAATTTTGACAGAGGTGCCAAGCATACCTAATGCAGGAAAGACAGTCCTTTCAGGTAGTGCTGCTGGGAAAGTGGATACTCCCATGCAGGGGAGTGAGACCTGCGGCCCTCCCTCCCTTCAGAAGCTGCTGTCTTTATCACCCTGCTGAGGGAAGTCCTGCCCTCTGCCCGCCTCTCCTGCTCTGTGGCCTTTTTAATGTGAATTGTCCTACTCTCTTCTAACGTAATCTCACTGGTTTGATTTTCGGTTAAATATAAGCTCATCGAGGATGGAAATATTATTTACTTGGCCTACTGGATACCTCAGTAATTACCGGCTGAATGAATGGTTGGCTAAATAACTGTGTGAGAAAATGAGTGATGGAAGCTTCTAGATTCTACCACTCGTTATGAGACCTTGGGTAAATTATTTAATAACTCTCCTCAGGTCTAGCGGCTTCCATAAAACTACCGTAGTAAGAGTACACATGGCATTGTGCTGCTGTGAGCGTTAAGTTGGCTGCAGGAGTAAAATGCTAACATTATGGAAGTATGGTAAAGGAAATGAAAGTCAGCTGTTTTAGCTTTGCGTTCAACATCCTCGACAGAGTACGGAATGTATGCTTACAAGGAATATATTTTGACCTTTTAAAGGACTTGTGTGATCCGGAATTCTTTTTCTCTTCTTTTTTCCCTAGGGGATGCAGAGAGCAACTAATGTCACCTATCAAGCCCACCATGTCAGCAGGAATAAGAGAGGTCAGGTGGTGGGGACCAGAGGTGGCTTTCGTGGTTGCACAGTTTGGCTGACAGGTACGGTCAAGAGAGAAATGAGTGGGTGTGGCGATGTGTGCCTGGAATCCCAGCTCTTGGGAGGCTGGGTGGGCGTTGCCTCTGCTTTGAAAGGCAGTCTGGGCTACAGAGTAAGTCAGGATCAGTCTGGGCTGTGTAGCAAGAAGACTAGAAGATGACCTCAGTCTTCTAGAAAGCACTGCCCTTCCATGGTTTATGGTCACATTGCTCAGTCTCTGCTTACAAGAACAACAGGTACTGAGTTCGGGGCCCGCCCTAACCAGCCAAGACTGTATTCAGTTAAGGTCCCGGTCTAAGGTCATCAGAATTACTCAAAGCCTCGTGGAGTAGAACAGCAGCCTCTTTGGTTACTTAGCACTGCCAAGGCAGAGTTTAAGGGCTTCCGGGGCTGTCTTTGCCTGGCTCTCACTTGGTTGTAGTCAAGGCCCTGTGAGTTGCAGTACTGAAGTCTCCGCTGGGCTGGCATCCCTGTCAGCTGGGGGCTCAGCTGGTTGACAGGGTCGACTGGAACAAGCTGGTGACCTCTGTAGCGGAGTGGTTCCGGGGTGCTCTGGAACTGACAAGTGAACACCAACGAGTTACCGATCCATTTCTAGTGTAGCCTTGGAAGGCTGTACAGTGTCACTCCCTGTATGTTTTGTCTACCAGTGGCCCCCTCAGCCAGCCCAGACCCAAGAGGGTGACATTAGATAGCCTGGGTTGAGGGGACAGTGACAGGTCACAGTGCAGAGACTCGAACTTGTAGGGCAGGCTATGCTGTCGTAGCTGTCTTTGGTCAAAGACGGTTTGCTGAGTTAAAGCGGCTGGCCCACTAATGCGGCCCTCTCTTCTCATTTAGCCTTCTGTACTGCCATGATTTCGGTCCAGATCATTGGCATATTAGACTTCCTTATTCGTCTCCTGCCTTCTTGTTCTCTTGACTTTGATCTGTAGTTACGGTGTCCAAGGTGGTGGAGCGTTAGTATATAAATCTTTTCTTTCTTTCTCCTAGTCACGTAGTGAATAAGCATGATTAGACAGGGGGGTGAATGGAAATAGGGTTTTCTTACCAGCTGAATTATGCCTCCCAGGCAGCTAGTTCCATGGTCCGTGAGAGGCTTGACCCTGAATATGGAGAGAGCACACAGAGCAGTGCCGGGCTTCCTTTTCTCCTTCCCTTTTCTGCCCTTATTATATAGAATTTGTCATTTCGGCTATCGCATTGCGGCAGGTGGCTTTCACTAGTGTGAAACACTGCCAAAGTGAATATACCTACCCACTCATGACACTAAACTTTGTTAATAGTTTCTGGAGCTCATTAGTGGTTTCTGAGTTATTCAAGTTAGCAGTATGCATGCTAAAGAAGAACACCCCAAGGAACCCCTAAATAAAAAAAAAAAAAAACCCTAGATGCTCATAATAGATATTTTGAGTAAATAAAAGGTCAATCTTTGTTTGTTTGTTTTGTTTTTTTGAGACAGGGTTTTTCTATGTAGCCCTGTCTGTCCTAGACTTACTTTGTAGACCAGGCTGGACTGGAACTCCCAGAAATCCTTCTGCCTCTGCCTCCCGGAGTGCTGGGATTACAGACGTGCCATCTTCTGTAATGGGTAAGGTGCTGTGAGTAGTTAATCTTGTCAGGGGAGTCCGGGCTCTAAGTTCCCATGTGGCATTTGTTTGCACTGCCCCCGCCAGGATTGTCCGGGGCAGGGAAGACGACCGTGAGCATGGCTCTGGAGGAGTACCTGGTGTGCCATGGCATTCCGTGCTACACTTTGGATGGCGACAACATCCGTCAGGGTCTCAATAAAAACCTCGGCTTCAGCCCCGAGGACAGGGAAGAGAATGTCCGGCGCATCGCAGAGGTGGCGAAGCTGTTTGCCGACGCCGGCTTGGTGTGCATTACAAGCTTCATATCGCCTTACACGCAGGTGCGTAGCCCTTGTCACCCTGGGTGCTGCGTGCGTTATTAGAGTGTGGTATCAGGCGAAGCACCTAAATTAAACAGTGCCTGTGTTTTCAGGTTAACTTCAACTTTTTTATGTCCCCAGAATTAAAATAAAAAATTATATGCTGTGATTTTTCTGAGTAAATCCAGTTTGGGTAAAAGTTGCTATTAAAACATCCTTAAGTATAAAGTATTTTTTTTTTTTTCCCCAATACAGGGTTTCTCTCTGTACCCCTGGCTGTCCTGGACTCGCTTTGTAGACTAGAATGGCCTCTAACTCACAGAGATCCACCTGCCTCTGCCTTCCTGAGTGCAGGGATGAAAGGTGTGTGCCACCATGCCTGGCTAGCAAAGTTCTTCAGATGAAGCCATTGGCTAAATTATTTCAAGCTTAATACACACACACACACACACACACACACACACACACACACGGGCATGCGCAAGCACATGCGCGCACACACAGACATTTGCTTATACATATACAAATATGTATAAACAGACTCAGGTACAAAGTTCTTGGTGTCCGTAATCTAGCTTTTAATTGTCCACTTTTTATTGATGTCCTTCTTGTTTCTGAAGGATCGCAACAATGCCAGGCAGATCCACGAGGGTGCAAGCTTACCCTTCTTCGAAGTTTTTGTTGATGCTCCGCTGCATGTGTGTGAGCAGAGGGATGTCAAAGGACTCTACAAGAAAGCACGAGCAGGAGAAATTAAAGGCAAGGAACATTTTCTCAGTTTCTCTTTGTCTAGATATTTCATGCTCCTGTGTGTGTGTCTGACGCTCCCTTCCCCCTTTCTTAAATTAAATTTTTATTTGTCTGTGTGTGTCTGTGTCTGTCAGTGAAGGTGCCTGTGCGGGCTAGAGGCATTTGATCCTCTGGAGTGAGAGTTCCACCTCACCTATGTGCTGGGAACTAAACTCTGGCCCTCTATAGGAACCTCATGTGCTCTTAATCACCGGTCTGTCTCTCCAGCCCCCAGGACTGATACTCTTGTCTAAGAAATTGGGAGTGAGAAGTGAATTGGGGCTGGTTGGCAGAGCTGGGACTTTGAGAGGTTGTGCTGAAAACCTACTTCATTTAATTAGATGTCTAGAATTCAGTATCCGGATGCTATTACGTCTGCTGCCCTTGTTGCACCGTGACAGTGCAGGATGTCCATAGCTATTGGGAGAAATGCCTGAATAAGGATCTTGATGTAAGGAGGATGTCCTGTTTTCATGTCAGTGCTTGAGATGGCTCCTTATTCAACCTCTCTAAGACTCTTGAGTTTGAACTAACATATTTCTGATGCCATGCCTAGGTTTCATGGGCTGCCCCCAGTGTTAGTATACTACATAGTAGGCATTTACAGGGGAATTTAGAGCCCGTCTCCGCTGTTGTGTTTGGTTCCGGTTGTGTTAATTCTGTCAGCATTCGTGGACACAGGGCATGCCGGCAATAATAAAGCCCTGAAGGTAGATTATATAGTAAACGTTCTTTGGGGGCGATTCAGGCAGGTAACTTGCTTGTCTTCCCAACAAGGTACAGTACCCTGGGACCATTGCAGGAGTTCTGAACTCTAGATTTGGGTATTTAATTTTTGGCTTAGGAAAGGGAAAAGGAAATTGGGGAGGACAGTGTTTGCTGCACAGTTTGCTTGTATTTGGGCCTGGGAATAAGCAGCTGAGGCCAGTTCTACCTGCCCCGGTGATGTCTAGTGTTTCGAGTAAAGCTGATGCCAAACTTGCCACCTCAGGACCCAGCTCATTGATGAGGCTACTTCCTGTTCTCCCTTTCATCCATTAAGCTGGCACCTTCTTGACTCAGAAAGAACAGACTGCCTGTCTGGAGTGAGTGATGATGGTGGGCAAGAAAGCAGATTTGTTATTTTACATTTTCATGCTTCTCTATTTTTGAGTAATGTTGTTTAAAGTGACTCTCCCCCCCCCCATGCTGAAAATGTTGTATAGCAATTCTGTTATGTGTTAACCTTATTTATCATCAGGCATGGGTGTGTAGGCCAGAGGATAAATAGAGTTTGCTGTCTTCTTTTACCAAGTTCCTCATGAACTCTGGTTGTTAGATTTGGTGGCAAGCCCGTTACTCACTGATCTGTCTTCCTGGTTCTGTAGTTTCTGAGAGCAAGTATGCTGGGTCTCAGTGGGACCCAGGAGCAAGGATGCTGTGCCGGGTCTTGGAAGGTTTCAAGGGCAAGGATGCTGTGGGGGTCTATGAGAGCAAGGATGCTGTGCCGGGTCTCGGAGGGAAGATCTATGTTAGTTTCATTCTATCTGAGCTGGAGTGTGGCTGTGAGGTCAGTGTAAGTGAATCAGTGTGTTCAATAAGGTGCCTTCAGACAGCAGTGCACACAATACTCGCGGCTGGCAGGAACCTGACCTTGTGTTTCACTGAGGAGACATGTTCACTTCCTGAGTATTTGTGACAACCTTATTGAACATAAAACTATGATGAATAGTGAGAATTGACTGTATGTGTGAAGAAGAAATAAAGTTTAACTAGAAGTCTCCCAAGGAAGGCGTGTCAGCACCATAATGGCATGATAGGCCAGTGGTAGGCCTTAGCCTCAGGGCAGGTGGGTACAGATGAAATTAACCCTTTACATTTCTGCCTCCCTCTGTTGTCTGCTGTCCTTTAAAGGCTTCACTGGGATTGATTCTGAGTATGAGAAACCAGAGGCTCCGGAGCTGGTGCTGAAAACGGATTCCTGTGACGTCAATGACTGCGTGCAGCAAGTGGTGGAGCTTCTCCAGGAACGGGTGAGCGCGAGCGAGCGGAGGCAGGGACCAGAGACGAGAACTGCCTGACAGCTCGGCCTCTCAAAAACTGACCTGGCTGAGAAGCGTGTGTATTTCAAGTTCTTTACTAAAACTAGTAGCTTTCTGTACGCTATCATTTCAGCATTGTGAGGCATGCGTGACACATGGAATATCCCAGGTATTGTAAATGTAGGAAAGGTTGCGAGTCATAGAACCTATTTGATCGTTAATTTTAGCAGCCTAGGAATAGTGGATTATTCTGCTGTATGACTTGGTCTTCGACCCTACCTTGAGGCACACAGAGTTTTTACATTTCCTCAGGAGTACACACCTGTCTCGGCTTGGTGACACACTTCCGGCTCGATGTTAGAGAAGGGTCCTATGGATGGAGGGTTCCTGGATTTAAGTACCTCTCCGTGGCTCCTGGGCAAATGGAGGCATACGAGGCACCGGGCCCAATAGCAGACATGTAGTTCCCTCGGATTTTGTTCTGGTTTTAGAGGTAGTTTTTCTTTCCTCTAAACTACCCATTACCTGTTCTTTCACTCCACTGCCGCTGTAGTTCACTCTAGCTGGAGAGGGCCCAGCGTCTGTGTGGGTGATGGAACTTGGCCTCCAGTGTTCCGTCTTGTTATGTGTGCCTGTGCTGACCACTTCCACTGTGGGGATGTGTCATGTCCTATTGTTTGGACTTCCCTTTTTTATGCAAAAAAATTCTGACCAGAGTTCCCTTTCTTCTACAGTCTCTCTCACACAATCTCTGCCTAAATATATGTGTTTCACCTTTGAAGTGTTTGTATTAAAATATATATATTTCAGGCAGCTAGCATAAGACTTTCCTTCTAATTTTTGTTTTGTTTTTGTTCTTTGGGGTTTTGAGACAGGGTTTCTCTGCGTAGCTCTGGATGGCTTAGAACTCACTCTGTAGACCAGCCTAGCCTCAAACTCAGAGATCTGCCTGCCTCTGCCTGGGTATTAACGGCCCTGGGATTAAAGGTGTGCACCACCACCTCTCGGCAAGTTAATTTTTTATTCAAATGTTTTCTTTGAATAAATAGAAATAATAGGAAATGGCCACTGCGCCACTCTGCCACTGCGCCACTCTGACTTTTTATGCACACATGTGCGTGTGTGTGTGTGCCATTGGTGCCCTAAACACTACCTTCAGGCCAGCGACATCATCTTAGGAGGATTTTTTTCCTTCATCTTCAGTTTCCAGGCTTCCTGTTAATAACTTCTGGGCTCTAGTCTAATCCTCTGCTCTTACGCTCCCTTTCTTCTCTCCAAAGTGGTGCCAACTGTCGTTCCTCATCTTCCACCAACCAGACATTAATTAAAACCCTATTGATGTACGTACTAACAAACTAACCTAGGCACTGGCAATGCAGAGGTTCATCAGCCAGGACTCCAGCCTTGGGGGTTTGCATTGTAGGTCAAAGAAGAAGAAATAGTAGCACACAACTCCTGGGACATGCCTTAGGAGCTGCTATCCAGGGGCTCCTGGTGTGTCCGGAGGCAGAGGCGTGTTCTGCTCGTTTCGGAGCGTCTTTCTCTGCTAGGTCTTTGAAAGGTATTCTTGCTGGGCGGAATTTCTTTCTTGCAGCCCTGTACAGATTTCCCTCCACAGTAATTTCATTTATCTGAGACAGGCTCTTGCTCTGTAGCCCTGGCTGGCCTAGAACTCACTGTGTAGACCAGGCTGGCCTCCAACTTGCCTCTGCCTTCCCAAGGCTGAGATTAGAGGTAGGTGTGTCCCACCCTGCTTAGCACTTTAGTGGTTTTTGAGAATTCATGGCCATGTCATTGTTTTGAAATGTGTCATTGTTTTAACTGATGTGGCTTGCGTGTGTACAGCTGCTGTGGCTCCCGCGTGTAGGTGTGTGTCCAGTGCGTAATCATCGTCTAGCCATTCTCTCTGTAAACGTTTCTTTTGCATCGTCACCTCTTCTCCATCAGGCACTCCAGTTAGCCATATGCCAAGCACTAGGGTCGTGTCCACATTAATTTCCAGTTAATATTTTAGCTTTTATTGTTTGAGTTTATTTATTTTTAAGTTTCTCAATTATTGTACCAAATATATTAACATGCTTATAAGGTGTTTTTTGTTTGTTTGTTTTTTCTTTTTGGGATAGGGTCTCTTTACAGTTCTGGCTATCCTGGAGCTCCCTGTGTAGGTGAGGCGTCTGCCTTTTGACTGCTGGGATTAAAGGCATGCAATTACCATGCATTGCCTAGGAGTTTTTAAACCATAATAATCATGAACAAACAGTTTTGGGACTGGAGAGTTGCCTCAGTGGTTAAGAATACTGCTGCTCTTCCTGAGATACTGAATTTGATTCCCAGCACGCACATAGAGGCCCATGGCTGGCACTCCAGTGCCAGGCGAATCTTATTCCCCCTCTTGGCCTCTCAGGGTACCAGGCACATATGTCATGCAAGGAGGAAGATGATTTATGTTCCTTGCATGTGTATTCTGTGAAGATTCTGCAGTTCTAAGTCTAGGATTGGCACGGAGTCCCACGCGTCTTTCAGCGAAATGCTAACTATGTCAAGTTTTTTACGAATGTCCTTTCTTATCCGACATTGAGCACGAGCGATACGTCGTGTCCCAGTTACTTGGGCTTTCACTGTAGCTCTGAAAAGCGAGGCACAGGCCTGTGTGGTGCCTGGAATGCACGTGGTTTACGTTGGTCAGAGAACAGGGTCAGTGCTACTCTGATTTTGTGACCACATCTCTGTTGTGTGCCTTTTATTTCATGATACATCATCCACAGAATCATCTCTCTGAAGTTTAATCTAACTATTTCCTTTTTCTTTCTTGATTTTCCAACTTTTTTTTTTTTTCCCCCCACAGAACCATGGTGATTTGTTTTGGGAATTCTTCATAGTTTGGTTCTAAGATGCATACCTTCATGTATATTGCCATTATGTATTCTACCATAGCGTATACCTCCTCCTGCTCTTCCTCCTCCCTTCTCTTTCTGTGTTTATCTTAGTATCTGTAGTCATTTCCTCTTAATTAGAGGTTGTAGTAATTATCCTGTTTATATGTCTTATACTTGCCAGACAACGTGATGATTAGACATTTTTACCTAATGTCTCAAAAAGAGGCAGAAAAGACTGACATTTGCTGAGTATTGTAGTACATGTAGCGCTTCATGTCTTTTACAATTTTTATTTTTTGACTTTTAGAAGCTGGGGCAGTGACCCATTTCTCCCTCCCAGTTTATCTTTTAGTGCTGTCTTCCTTATGCTTGTTTTAAATTAAGGATTTGCTTATTTTTGTTTTATGTGTATGGGTGTTTTGCTTGCACATCTGCCCGCACCACGCATGTGCAATGCTCTTGGAAGCTAGAACCCCCCGTAACTAGAATTACAGACAATTGTTAGCTGCCAGGTCCTCTGGAGAAACGGCCAGTGCTCTTAACCGCTGAGCCTCCTTCCGCACCCCCCCAGTGTTTGTGGCCTCTTCATGAGAGCTGTTTGCACTCAGATCTCTGTGTGTGTCACCTCATTTCACCCACACAAAACTCTGGAAGTATTTCAGCGAAATCAGGTTTGCTTATCGCTGTGTTGGATTCTGTGTCTGGGGATTTCAGAATGACTTTTATGTATCTCTGGGCTTATTTTTAGGAGTCTTCTCAGTACACTTAAAACCTCTCATTATTCTATCTATGTCTAGAAAGTGATTCTGGTTGTATGGATTTAGAACAGAGAAGCTATCTTATGAAGATTTTTTTTTTTTTTTTTTTTTTTTTATTGTTACACTGGGTAACGAGAGAGAAGAAATCCTAGGGCCTTGTTCCTGTAATTATGTTCTCTTGGTATCAACCTTGTTTGGGGAAAAGGATTTGAGTTACATGCTGTCCTAAGCAAATGACATCCCTGACAGCATGTGCGCACTGCTCTGCTGTGTTGGATGAATCCCAATAACTGGAGAACCATTCAATGCCATCTGTGATTGGCACTACAGCAAACACTGGGATGTGGTGGCCAACCAAATAGTACAGTTGCTTTATGGACCTGCATGTTCGGTCCTTGCTGCTCCTACTTAGTCTATAGTGTATAGACAGGATGACCGTGTGTAAATTAGTTTATGTCTCTTCTTTTGTAGCATGATACAGAATTCAAAATAACAATTGGAGGAAGACACACACAGACAAAACCACATCTGTTCTGACATGAATTCTCTTCGATTGTTTCGTGGCAAAGCTGAATCTCAAATAAGCCTTAGGGCACCTGGAGAAGCCAGTGACTAGCTGACAGATCACAGGTTTTAGTTGGTGGGATGCACAGCGCTTTCCCATAGCAGACTTGGTATGATGCAGTCTGTGCAGCCTCCAGCCAGGGCGAATAAATGCAGTTCACCGCCGTTATTATTGCAGAGATGTTTGGGAGGCTTCCCCAGGTGGTTAGGGGAGAGCCCGTGGTGGAATCTCAAGTAGATTGGAGGGGGAGGGCGATGAGTGGGTGGAGTGCAGTGGTGACTTAAGCAAAGGAGGTCAGCCTACTCAGTTTACAGTATAGGCCTAAATACCGTAGAGGATAGCTATAACATCACCATGTTACTGATGGGAAGCAGGGTTGGGTTTGTGATGTAATCTCAGAATAGTTTGATCAGCTGGGATTGGCATTGTCACAGGGTAGATTCTGCAGCTCACACTTAGGTCTTTCTAATGGACCATTACTTCTAAATTCTAAATTACTCCCTTTTTTAGTTTTTTACTAAAATATGAATCTTTTGTTTGATCCTCTTTCACATTCTTTGATAGGTGATTTCTGAGTGTAGATGGGATTAAGAAATGGAGAGAAAGGAATCATTGATCTTACAGAGACTGAATATTTTTAGAATACTTCAAAAGTACTCTAGAGAAACTCAAGGACAATACTGCCTGTCTTGGAAAAGATATTTATTGGGCAGAGAGAGAAACTTCCCAAGTTTGAATCTAGGCAGTGACAAATGTTCTACACGGTGGAAAATAAGGTCATGGTAGGCTATT